CACTCTCATGGATGGGAAAGGCGGCCCAGCAGCATGCGCCCGACATTGCCGAGAAGGTGCGGATGGAGCTGCCAAAGAGGTACCGTTATGGCTTACGCTTGCCCACAGCGGAGCTCAGACAGCAGAGGGCAGTGGCGATTACTGCCGTAGTCGCTTTGTCCTGGTTGGAGGAGGCCGGGGCCGCCTATGCCGCTGATATCCTCCTCTACGGATGGTGGAAGAATTCCGGGAGGGCCAGAGATGCTTTGATGGAGATGTGCCAGTCGGAGTCCTCCGCAACACGACTTGCTGCAATGAAGTCACTTACTTCCCTCTTAGAGAAAGATGGGTTTGGTCCTGTGGAGCACTCTGAGCTAGAACGTCGCCAAATTCTCCTGCCATACATCTGCGACGCGGTGTTCGATGAGAGTGCCGAGGTTCACCAGGTGGCAGGAGCCTGCTTGATGCGATTCGTCCCCTCCTTCTCTGGTGAAGCCGATATCTTCGCGGTGCGGCACACCATTTTAGACCAACTCCTGCGTTTCGGAGATAATTTCCGTGGCAAGTCCTTTCCCGAGAGCGTTTCGATCTTTTGCCGGGCTCTCGCCGCGAAATTGGACGGGTACTGGCCACAGTTCCTTAGTAGCTGAGTGAGTACACTTTTGGGGAATATATGATCCCTTATAGAACTGAAAGTGTACACTTTTTGGGGCTTATGAACTCAGCAACTAAGGTTCGTAGGCTGGCAGGAGGGCATCGACGACGAGGACTCCGAAGCGGCCACCCAGGTGGCCACGGCCGCAGTTCGCTACCTCCGACGCCGAGTTCAGCAATGGCTGGCCGACAGCCAACCCCCTTTCGGTACCTTGGCGTTCTTCTGGTTGGCTCTTAGGACTTTAACTTTCTGGGTCTCTCTATGAACTATATTAAGTAGGCTAAAAGTTTAACTTTTAGGAGGGGTTCAGAAGTCAGCCAAGGTACGATTGAGCAGAACGAGTCACCGCTGATGGATCTCATCGAAGACTTCGAGTTCGGCCTCGCCAGCCCTCGATGGCAGGTGCGTAGGGCGACCGTGGAAAGTCTCATCGCGATTGCTCCATGGGGTGCTCATGGTGCGAATTGCGTGCACAGGATGCAAATGAGGGAGAAGCGAAAAGAGGTCTTAGAAGTGATGGCACGCTTCCTGGATAAGTACAAGGCGTTTGTGGAGGACTCTTCTACGCTGCGTCAGTGCTTGCGTCAGTGCTTCATATACCTCGACTACGTAGATTTTTATGAGGAAGACTACTTGGAAGAATGCGAGAAGGAGTGGACGGCACAATGGGAAGACTCCCTGATGCGTGACAAGCATGGTGGATATCTCAAGTCGCATGCCACCCGACGGGCACGTCACAACAAGCAGCATGGCGCCAATGCATCGCAGGGACCGTCTACAATCGCAAGGAAGAAGAAGTGGGAAAGGCGATCGAAGCCAGCAGAGGTGCAAGACTACGCGGAAATCAAGAAGATAAGCCAGCGAGACAAGGAGCAGGATCGCCAGCTCAAGGCAGCGATGCTTGGACGCGAGCTCTTCAGCTTTTCTCTGGGCCTGGAACGCGAGAGCTCTTAGGGTCTTTGGAAAGGGTTTTAGCTCAGTAGCTGAGTGGATACACTTTACACTTTTTGGGATAATATTACCTACTATAAAACTGAAACTGTACACTTTTCTGGGCTTATGAACTCAGCAACTAAGTTAGGGTTTGGTGTTTTAGGGATCCAGGGTTTAAGGTAGAAGGTTTTAGGGCTTAGGGCTTTAGGGATTCAGAGCTGGTCCCGGTCTGCATGGTGCTTTGACAAGTGCTGAGGGCCGAGGTGCATGAGAGGTGACGATGTATATTAGGGTTTAGGGTTTAGGGTTTAGGGTTTATTCTTTTGAAACAGTGAGCAATAGCTCAAGCTTGTCAGAGGCCAGGATTGCGTCATCCCCTTTGTTCGTCTGCATTAGTTTGTCCTTGTTCGTTTGTATACTCTGTAGGATGCATGCAGTCTTGGATCCTCTGACAATTGCGTAGTGAATTGGGGTTTAGGGTTTTAAGGTTTCGGGGCTTTGGGTTTTAAGTTTTGGGGTTTAGGGTTTAAGGTTTGGGGTTTCGGGTTTTAAGGTTTGGGGAGTGTGAGAGTCGGATCCCTAAACCCTTACGAAGCGCGAACCCTGAACCTTCAAGCCTAAGCCCGGCAACACTCCCAAACACTGCACAGGCCAGCACTTTGGACGGACTGTGGACCCTAAATCAAGCAACAACCCTACTCTACAGTGGGAACCCTAAACCCACCAGAGGAAGAAATAATGTCAGGCACACCCTGAGAAGCCTTTTGAGAAAGGACGCGAGTCTAAAACTGGACATTTGTCGGGCTGCATCTTAGCCTGATGTCAAACCCGAAACCATCGACCCCGGCTTCCTGAGCGGGAGGATCACGTCCCAAAACCCTAAACCCAATGAAGAAACGCTAAACCCACAGCCCCACATTTTTTGGATGCATCTAAAGAACCTCAAGAAAGACGCCGGGTTTCCTAATCAGGTCCCTTTAGGGTTTAGGGATTAAGAAGGTTCCGATAGCCCTTAAACCCTTATAGTACCCTTATAGAACCCGAAAGTACAGACCCAAGGTTTCTAGATCCTAAACCCTAAACCCTAAACCTCTAAATCCCAAACCCCTAAAGCCCTAGACACCTAAAGCCCTAAAGCCCTAAACCCCTAAAGCCCTAAACCCTAAACCTTAAACCCCTAAAGCCCTAAAACCCTAAAGCCCTAAAGCCCTAAACCCTAGCTCTGTCTCCCAAGGCCCGATTTCTTCGAGAGGCCAACGCACAGGTTTGCCTTTGCAGAACTCCAGGGCAGCTCTGACGCGAAGGCGAGCACCTTTTTAAACCCTAAAGCCTAAACCCAACCTCTTGGTGTTCTTCTGGTTGGCTCTTAAGACTTTAACTTTTGGGGTTTCTAGATGAACCATAATAAGGAGGCTAAAAGTTTAACTTTTTGGAGCTCTTTAAACCCTAACCCTAAGGGTCCATGTACCCAAATAGTAGAACATTGGCCTTAATGTAGTCCCTATATGGGTACTTTAGGGCCAATGTTCTACTATTTGGGTACATGGACCCTTAGGGTAAAGCCCAAACCC